GTGCTTCAATCATGTAGTCCGGTCAATTTAGACATTCGAAGCTACCTAAATTCCCACCAAGCTGAAAATCAGTAAAATTGTTTAAAATATGATTAAAAATAAAATTTGAAAGTTCCCCATTTTTCCCCTGATCAGAAAAATTTGTATTCAAGGTCAAAGGTCAAAAAAATGAGTTCTTCGCGATTTTCAGCAAAACGGTACGTTTTATCATAATAATACTTCAGACAAAAATTGTAGATCACCGGTAAAAAATTTCGCTTGAATAAAGAGGTTATTGCTGGAACTGATGACTATTTTGAGGCAAAAGATAAGTCTTTTTACAAGAAAGGTATGAAAAAGTAAGATCGGCGCTGAAATGATTTTGTGGCTCCTTATGGAGATCACGTTGCTGAATGATACCAATTCAGAACAAAAAACGCGTTTTCTTTCTTAGGCCCGGGACTTTCTAGCCCATGTAACAGCAGTCTTCTTGTTATCATATTATTCAAATATTACTCCTACTTATTCACCAAACTCCAACACCTGTTCATGCAGTTGCAGTTCAGTAAGATTGTATTATCTTTCACACCAACCGATTTCCTGAAGTCTTTAAAGTCCACTAGATACTCGTTAGGACTACAAGAGGATTGTTTCGAACTCTTGGTGTTCTTGTTGAATACTCTTCGTTAAAAAAAAATAGCAGAATCAATAGTCCTGACCGCTCTGGATTGAATAATTCCGTACAGTCTATCTCGTCTGGTGTTTGTAGATTTTCTGCTGGAAAAATCCTCACTTGTTCACTTTGTAGTAAATGTTCAAGATGTAGCATAAACGTATGTGATTTTCTAGAACTTCAACTAGCCTTTCCTAATATGACTGATAACCAGTCCGTGCAAAGCTTATTGTTAAATCATCTGAAAATGGTCGCTCCATCCGGTATTTCTCAATAGGAAACTATTGGAATCATAGGCTTTTCATGTGCAATGCATGTATTCGAACTGATAATTTTCGAATGAAGAATAAATAAACTCATCAGAAGCAAACCATCAATTTCTTTCAGGAGAAACGTAAACATATTCGCTCAACCGTAAAGAGATTTTATTGCTCGTTTTATGACTTCTAAGAATAAGTTTCGTTTCACGATATGTTTGTTGCTTCAATTCTGATGAGATCAATGGAAAACTATCGAATGTCTATTTCCCTAAGATTGGACGAATTCACCTACATTCTAGTGCTTTTAACTGTTTCAACACACACTTTTTATTTCTAGTATTAGTTCAATATACTATACTTATTTATGTATAGTCCGGTCAAATTAGACCAAAAAATAAGAGTAAAGCTAACTAAATTCCCATCAAGCTGAAAATCAGTAAGATTGTTTGAAATATGATTAAAAATAAAATTTGAAAGTTCCCCATTTTTCCCCTGTTTGGAAAAAAATTTATTCAAGGTCAAAGGTCAAAAAAATGAGTTCTTCGCGATTTTCAGCAAAACGGTACGTTTTATCATAAAAATACTTCAGACTATTTTGAGGCAAAAGATAAGTCTTTCTACAAAAGTGGTATGAAAAAGTAAGAGCGGCGCTGAAATGATTGTGTGGCTTCAGATGGAGATCACGTTGCTGAATGAAGCTAATTCTGAACAAAAAAACGCGTTTTTTTTCTTAGGCCCGGGACTTTCTAGCCCATGTAACAGCAGTCTTCTTATTATCATATTATTCAAATATTACTCCTACTTATTCACCAAACTCAAACACCTGTTCATGCAGTTGCAGTTTAGTAAGATTGTATCATCTTTCACACCAACCGATTTCCTGAAGTCTTTAAAGTCCACTAGATACTCGTTAGGACTACAAGAGGATTGTTTCGAATTCTTGGTGTTCTTGTTGAATACTCTTCGTTAGCAAAAAAATAGCAGAATCAATACTCCTGACCGCTCTGGATTGAATAATTCCGTACAGTCTATCTCGTCTTGTGTTTGTAGATTTTCTGCTGGAAAAATCCTCACTTGTTTACTTTGTAGTAAATGTTCAAGAGGTAGCAAAAACGTATGTGATTTTCTAGAACTTCAACTAGCCTTTCCTAATATGACTGATAACCAGTCCGTGCAAAGCTTATTGTTAAATCATCTGAAAATGGAAATTTTAATAGGTGATGATGGACTGTATTGCCAAGGGTGTCGGCAGCTTATGACTAAGGGGGAAGGCAATGGGACAATATTATGAAGCATACAAAATATGAACGCCGGGTACAGTCGAAAGCATGAAGCGTTACATTTTGGAAGTCTTTGCCTCGATGACGATTGTGATAAGAACGGTTCTGATATCAATGTATAAAACTTCACAAGACCTCGACAACACAATAACTAAATCAAAGTTTCAAACACAGTAATAATTATTTATTTTAACAAAAATAATATTTAATTAAAACATAACCTGCGGGGATTTTTTGCAAAACTTTCAACCACTTTATCATTAAAATTATTTAGGTTTTTATTTATTATAGCTCTGTGTACACTCATCATGGCCAGACCATTAAGGCAATTTTCTGCCATGGTGCCATATTTTCAGTTTTCTGAGGCTGCTAAAGGATCGTTCTACTGTACAGGTCGGGCATGGGGAAGCGATCAAAATTTTCAATGCTTTTTCCGTTTCGGGACATCAACAACTGTAAGATTTGTTAGATTAAGCCCATCGTGCCACAATTGCTGCCAAACTTCTATTTGATTCTTTATGTTCGGTATATCATAAAACTGGGCAACAGATTCACAAGTTTGTTTCAGATTTTCAGTTGTCATCTTTTGCATTTGCGTGTAACTTAGATAATGCGAATGATGGTGTGTTTCCTTCATCAAAGCATACTTCAAGGGAGGTGTTGATTGAAACCAAGTATGGTATTACTAAAGACCTCTTCCAGTATTCTGAAGGACTTTCTGCTGGATGATTTCTTCTATGACGTTGTTTCCCCGTAATATGCAGCATTGATGTAATGTCCTCCAGTCCGACTTTCTCCGCAACAGCAGTAGCTTCCTTTATAATTTCATCTGTCACTTTTTCCGGATTTTCACTCTGGTTTTTAATTAAAAGTAATATCCTTTTAACGTGTTCCGAGGCTTTGACCACGTCCAAAGCTACAGATTGGAGTACGTTGACAACGGGTTCCATCAAAGCCGAGTATTTGGCTACCAACATAATCCCGAAATGAAAAAAATTCTGGAAATAGCCGCATGCAGTTGGAAGGCACTTTTCCGAGTTTCACTATTTCCTTTCTGAGATAATGTTTGTAAGGCTTCCGGAATGATTGGAAGATTTTCTTTAAAAACTCTGATAGTTTCGTGTTTATCACTCCATCTTGTCTCGCAAAGTCTAGAAATATTAGGTATCAACTTTCTCCTCAAAACTGATTCCCGAAAAAAGTTTATAATATCTTTGGTGGTTCCATGGCATTTCTAATTTCAGGAAGTGAATTTAGATCATTGTTCGTAACAGTAACTTCTACTATAGATATGCCGCATACAAATCATACAAAACTAACTTGTATGCTGGTGAACGACTGTCGTAGAAAGAAATGGAATGCACACAACAGACACATCATACCTACCTCCTACCTACATATTTTCACATTGTTTAATGGCAAATCTGATATAGTCGTGATGATAATGGCGGCAATTTTAAAAACGGATGTCAAAAATCTTAATGTTATTCTGAATATTTCAATACTTTCTACAATATACATCAAACCTTGTGAATTTATTTACGTTTTGTCATACGATGCGGAATTTATTAATAGGTAAGGAAGTCAATTGCTCGCACTTTGGTCGCTTTGCGGCTAGCTACATTTGATCTCTAGGGGGGGAAACTGCCCCCTTGCCCTTGGGTGAAACCTCATTGTAATCAGCCTACCTCTGGTAATGTGAGGCTCTGCCAGACGTAACCAACTCTTCCCTTGCTACTCGTGGGAATACACATGAATGAAACAAACAAAACAGAAACAACAAAAACAAAAACCAATCCCGAGGCTGGACAGAAACCTCGGGATCTAAGGCGGTTGCTGGGGGTGAACAGAAATGTCCACCCCAATCTACCGCTTGGAATGAGGCTGGACATAGCAGATCACCTCGTGATGTAATACATAGGCCAAGGCGTGAGCGCATTTGCGGCGCCGAGGCCAAAAGGAGAAAGAGACCGAAAGAGGCGGGAGTGGCAGCAACTATAACTACACCCTCCTCCTCTCTCACTCCACCTCCAACAGCAAGGGCACTTCCTGCGGCGGGCGCCAAGAGCTTCGCCTTGAATAAAGACGAGGAACCGGCTGCCCCTGCAGGAAAGCTTTCTCACTTGTGCACCTCCACGGAGGGAATCCCAAGAAGGTTGAAGAAACCGCGCAACGACAGTAATGTCGCTGCACTTTCTAAAACCTTAGCTTTATTTTGAAGGTCAAACTGTATAGCAGCAACAACAAATACCGCACGCCGCTGTTTAAACTGCTACTAGCCTCCATTTGCTGTATTTGACAAATACCTAGAATGAATATCCGAGAGATTATGCAGACGCGGAAAGGCGAAGAATGCAAAAAATCTAAGTCCCGATATAATGTATACAATTCCTGATAACACGTTATTGCGTGATGAACAAAAACGAGGCAATTAATAGGCAATAACAATGGTCAATGTGAGTCAATCTCTTATCTTAGAAGTTGCAAAACAACCATCTGCATGATTCGAAGAGATAATCCGAAATGTTGATGAAACAGTTACCGAAGAATGTATTTGCGATATTGCCCACGTAAATGTGTACATATTTCACAATGAACTTGTCAGCACGACTGGTCATCATAAGTATCCAGTACTTTGTTTGTTTGAAGGTAGTTGATAATGATTCATGGTGAATTTCATTAGTTCGGACTTTCATGGTCTAATATGATATAACATTATTCGAAGTCCCTAAAAAACCAATACAATTGAAAATCAAAATGAATAACTGAAAATAACAATTATGTGAAGGAAAACACCCTGAAATGAGATCACAATGATATAAGATACCAGCAAGCAGTCATCACCTGAAGACGATGATTGTGGATACTAACAATCGAAACGTCGTGAAGTACCTTAGGTCGAAAAATTTCAATTTTGAAGCTCCTGACGAATATGAAGTCAATATATTCACATACTATAAAATGACGGAACATTTAATAATTTTCTGAAGACAAACACATTAATATCGATATTACTAGAAATATTCCATTTTCATCTACCATATGGCAATTCCAACAACTCGATAAGGTTTGTTAAGTTATTTTTTGTTTATAAAAACGACAAAATATGTCAGTACGACAATGAACATCATTGTTCAGTAAGAATATTCTCATTTAGTTTTCGGTTTTCCCAATATTCAGAAAAAATTAACGTTTGGGCCGGAGTATTGAGAAACCATATTGTAGGACCTCTATTTATTGATCAAAATTTAACAGGGGAACTGTATTTGCATAAGTTGGAAACTTCTGTTGACCCTCTCATCACTGAAATCGTCGAAGAGAATCCTAATGAATTCGATATGGATATTGTATTCCAACAAGATGGAGCGCCACCACATTATAAGAAACCGTTTGAATACTACTTTTCCCGGTCGTTGGATTGGCCGTTGAGGTCCTACAGAATGGCCAGCTCGCTCACCAGATTTGACACCTTTGGACTTTTTATATGAAGCTATTCGAAGCAAAAGGTGTACGAAACTCAACCTGTTTCAATATTGGATATACGGCAGATAATAATAAATATTTGTAGAGATAATGACGTTACTGTGTTCGAAAATGTTCGGTGTGAAATATTGGATAGTCTGTTCATATATCAAAAAGTTCAAGGCAACCATTTCGAGCATCTTCTGAACTGACCTCAAGCTTATTACCTCATATTATGTAGTTAAATGTCAATGTATTCAGGCAATTATTAAATTTTCCGCCATTTTGAAGTAGGTGAAGGCATTGACTTCATATTTTAGGGTTGTGAAGTATTCGTCAGGAGCTTCAAAATGATGCGTCACAAGATCCTCCCCCTTTCCATTTAATTTTTGTGCTTTGTTCACTCACTCGAATTGACTGCCGTGTTGGTCGGTGGTTCAAGCCTTAGTCTGAACGATCGATCTTCAATTGCCATCGTCCATCCTAAGACCTCGTTAATCCTTAGCTCGCACAAGTTTCGACTTCTGCGGGTTGTCGTTCGTAGGGGTGCGACAGCTGGTTAACGGAAAAACAGACAGACAGACAGACAGATTCCAGAAAATTTCGCATTAGATGATGAACAACTATTTCCTATGAAATGAAAAAATGTTTATCAAAAAATAATTCCTTTTCCATATGAAAATTAATACGAAATCATCATTTCCCACATCAAAAAAACTCGGGTACCAAATTTCGGGCAAAGAACTTATTTTTTGCATAAGTTATTTTCAAAATAAGAACAAAACAATTCAATTTCAACACCTTGTATCTCTGAAACGAAGGATTTCCGGACACAAGTTTATACAGCTTTTTTTTTCAATTGTTTCGGGAATACATCACTTGAATACTTCAACTTATTTTTGTTACACCCAGTACATATGTAAGAAATGAACAAGAATTGTCTAACTGTGAAAGTAGCATGCTCATCTAGAATAATTTGTTCAATAAATGCCGATAATACATGCTTTGCGAGCAGGCATATCATCAACCACAATGCATAAGGAGTCTCTACTTTCTCCTCTATAATTTGTTGTTTCGTTTCTAATTGCAATGGAGGTAAATCGAGCGCCAGTACCTACACGATTTGTTTTTTTTTCTCACGGCCGTGGTAGATATGAAGATGGCAAAACGATTAAATAGTTAGTAGTAACAGAAAACAGGACGCACGATATTCGAATGCATTTTTCAAATCATGGACTTGATAGTTTACTTTAGACATCTAACAATATTTTACTGAAGCACTGAAGCAAAAAATAATATTTCCAGAGGAAGAAGTTTTTCTGCTTCTACTCGGTTTTGTTGAACAAATTTGAGAATAATACGAGGTCTGTTCAAAAAATGAGGTGAACTTTAATTTTTCTCCAAAAATATTCATTTATTCCTCAATTTATATTTTGCCCCTTTCAAAGAAGTCACTCACAATCCTCAAAGCAGTTCTGATATTCACTTTCTGGTATGTCCTTGGATTTGTTCAATATTGGGAACAGGAAAAAGTCGTAGGGGACAAATCTGGTGAATAAGGTGGCTGAGGCATGATTACGGCATTGTCTTTGGCTAAAAAATTAAGCCATGAATTGCTTTTCCACAATACCGGACGTTTCCTTTGAATTGCTTCTCGTAAGCGGCGCATAACTTCAAGATAATACTCCTTATCCATCTTACGACCATGTGACAATAATTCCTAATGCAATACGCTATGGTAATCGGAAAAAACTTCTCTGCCACACGCTTCATACCCAAAATGTGTCTACCGATATCCCGACATCCTCAGCAATTTCTCTAACGATTCTCCATAACAATTTTCTTCACTTCACAACATTTTCATCGATTGTTGATGTGCTGGGACGTCCAGGGTGAGCATTTTCATTTACATCTTCTCTACATTCCGTGAAAAGTTTGTACCACTTGTGAACATTTTTCTGACTCGAAGTACAATCACCGTATGCCATTGTCAATATTTCAAGTGTTTCTGAACACTTGACTCCATTTTTTACACAAAAATCGTTCCTCTGAAGACATCTGTGAAAGGAGATTTGCATACTGGCACTCCCCTGAGATGAAGAAACTACTTTATGAGAAGAAATCAGCTCACAAGATCTACAAGAGCGCAAGATGTCCAGAAAGCTACGCAGCATTTAGCAATTTAAGATCTAGATGTAAGTCCTCATCTAGACAATGTTATACAGATTACATTCAACGCACTGAAGATAGAAAAAAATAATAGTAAAAAAATTAATGAAAATTAAAAATGAGAGAAAAGAAAGGGAGATCCCATACTTTGAAATTCTGAGTTGTTTGAAAACTTCAAAAAAGTTTAATTTCTCCCAAGTAAGGGAACAGTCCTGAACAGTCCACAAATTTTGAAGTGACAATTTTACAAAATTCCCAACTTGTCGCTGTTTTTTCGATTTGGAAAAGTTGGGAAATTTTGGGCCATGAAGATAGAAAAAATAATAGTAGAAAACAATAAGCACAATATTATTTAAGTGTTGTTTCCTTTCATTTGTATTGAATATTCCTATACATGGTGGATATGCTGGAAGACCAAGGACCTTGGTCCAAAGTATAATAATTCCCATTATGATTTTTATAATTACCAAAATTTATTTTTGTTTGTGCATACCCTAACAGGCATCAGCATTCAGGCAATCTTTGGATTGCTAAGTAAGAAAATTAATATATTATAGTAGTAACTAATCCCTCGGCTTTCATTTCTTCGAAAGTTGGGAAATTTTGCTGGTGAGGTTGGGAAAATTTGGATTCCTTCCCCTCCCTGATTCTTTTTCGCTACGGCCCTGGCGACTTCTAAATTCATAGGAGTGACTGTGACAATTATTATTGCAAAATGATTTGAATATCATAACGATGACGATGAGATAGTAAACAATTTATACACACGTAAATAACCTCTACTCTTTCAACTTCTGAACGGGGCAAGATATCAAAGTCGGATAAAATCTTTATAAAAAAGGATAATTTTTAGTACTTTCTGATAAAAAAGCTAGTAGTTTGAAAAAATCTGTTCAAAATCTGTTTTTCCGTTAATCAGCTGTCGTATCCCTACAAACGACAACCCTCAGAAGTCGAAACTTGTGCGAGCTAAGGATTAACAAGTTCTTACCTTTTAACGTGTGATTCCTAACACGGGTAGTGTGGCATCACTTGCCACCGAGAGTTATCAACTTTTTCTCAACGGAAAGGGAGGTCTTGTGACATTTTGTATGATATTTCATTTCACTATCCAATGACCTTCACTTTTTTGAATGTTGAAAACCGGCTACGTCCGCATTGTTTGGAAGAATTTTTAAAAGCGGTCAAGTGGTTTTTTAAGTTCATCAATAAACATAACAAATCTTTTCCATTCGTTTGCTCAATTAATTGTTCATTGGCGAATTCTTACTAGTAAAACTCACCTTCAAGGCCACTTCTAGTTCTTCCTCCCTCATTGTGTTAGGCACGTGGCCCGTAGCCCCTCAAAAGGGGTCCCGAGCTCATTCTTCTGCTATTATCGGAACCCTGGAAAAAGAATAGAAAATATGTTTTTATTCCTTTCATTCGGGAATATATTGGATTTCTGTTTTTTTAAACTGTTGATCTCAAATTTGAATTTGCAATGGCCAATCTGATGAAACGCAAAAGTCCCTTACTGAGAAAATATAGCTCCAAGAAAATTAATTTTTGGGCAAAGCATGCAATGCAAATGTTCAATTACTAACTTTTTATTCACAGTATAGTGCTGCAGAGAATCTTCAATGTCTCCGAATTTCTAAATTTGACGAAAAATGTATATGACTTACTATTGTATTTTTTTCTATGACGAATCAATTGAGACACAAAATCAAATTCCTTCGCTTACTTTTCAACAAATTTTCAAATGAATATGACGATATATTTCATTAAATGTAAAGATTTTCGTTTTGGAAACAAATTATCAGAAGGTACGTTTCGTTCAGGCCAGTTTTCCCTCACCTTCACCGTAGGTTTATGGACTGACACCTGTCAGAAAACAACTACTCCCCTGGTTAATACCACGAGGGGCGTTGAATTATATACGACAGCCGTGAGTGCAGGATTATCCACAGAAACAATTTCTGCATATGCTTTTGGAGGTACCTACAACTACCAGAATCGGTTTCCAATTATTGGAACAGGTACACTTGCAGACAGGTTTCGGGCTATTTGGCCTTTTGTCCGTTCAAGGTAGTGTCCTACATCAACACAAAGTTGACGATTTCCTATAATTGAAAATCAAATCATTTCAGAGTATCATACCTCGAACAAAGCTCAAGCGAACGATAATCAACATATCTGCCATCGCCCCCTCTGCCTGTAGACGAGGTGCTAACCAACCGCATATCCAAATGGTCCAAATCCTCATATAAGCAAATAAATTTCACCTATAGTAGGTGGGCATATTTGAAGACTGGTTTTGAATCAAATTATCTGAAGAACAATTCGTTCAGGTCAAATTTTTTGTCCTGGTGAAGGCATGGAAAACAATAAATTTGGAATACATGTTGGAAATTCATTTAGTTTGAAAACTTGTTTTAATGATAACATTGTCCCAATTGTCAAAACATGTTCATGATCTGTTTTTATGCACAAGAACGGCAGAAACATCCCTCTGCATATATCCAATTGCACGAAACATGTCCTTGTAGAGCGTAGCGTTAACTACAGGTTGACACTGAAAGTCATAACATTCTGGGGTGAATAAGGCCTCCTGACCTATATTACACAGTACTATCTGTATCTGTAGAGTAGGGAGGGTGAGTGTAGGCTCACAGCACTTAGGCCACATGTGACCCATTGTACATCACTGGTTGCCTGCAGATGATGTTGCGCAGTAAGCGCTTCTTGTCATAGGCTCAGCCTCAATTGACCCATTCCTACTTCGAGGTTCACACCAGCGGTGTGCAATCGTAACATCCAAATGGATTTGATACTCCGGAAAAGAAATTACTGAAAGCAGGTAGCTATTGGTTCAAATATAGATCAGTAACACCTTCCTTTGGAAGCACCTTTGGCTTTCACTGAGTAACGTCTAAGTTGGTAGTAAACTGCCAAGAAAGACTTCACTTAATAGGAAGACTCAACAAATGGTGTCTGCTGTAGATTCCTTCTAAACTGTTGACTATAATGCACCGAAGGGCACTGCAAGCGAAGCGCCCAAGGTTTTGCCAAACAAACACAAAAAACCTGGATAACAAGAACAGTTTCAGTCCGTTTCAATATCAGTCCAACAAATTAACCAGGCATTTGGCAATTATAATATTGATGAACGCACTGTTCGACGGTGGTTTGCGAAATTTCGTAGCCTCAGAGATGATCTCCGAAGTGGTCGACCTACAGTGAATCATGACGAAGATTTGAGGACCCTGGTGGAGTCTGACCCATCACAAACATTGCGTGGGTAGAACTGAGCGTCAGCTGCCATGTGGTTTCTGATGGTTAAAAACGTGTTGGAAAGGTTAAAACCCTCGAAAAGTGGGTGCACCACGATTTGAACGAACAATGATCACGTATCGAGGTATGTTCTTCTTTGCTTTACTAATCGGCCAAAACGATCTTTTTTTGGATCGTTTTGGCACTTCTCAAAGGCGAAAACCCACCAAAAAAGACCATGGTTGCGGTATGGTGGTCAGCGGTGGTGTGATTCTTTCTGCAAACGGGCCAAATTTCACAGCAGAGTCATATTCTGAGAAAATCGATGAAATGTACCAAAAATTGCATCAGCAGTAGTCAACAAAAGAGCTACAGTCCTGCTCCACGAAAACGTCCGTACGCACGTTTCATAAATCACTATCCGAAAATTAAACGAATTGAACGTCGAAGTTCTGCCTCACCCACCATACTTCCCAGATCTCTCGCCAATCGGCTACCATCCTTCTCACTGATAGAACATTTGCCAATCAGGATCAGGATAAACCGGCCTTCGTCAATTTCATCGTTTCCCGAACACTCAATTTTTCGACTGGTGTTACGTTGGCAAAACTGCACTCTTTCAAATGACTCATAAAAAGTGACAAAACATTTGAAACAACCCAACAACCTAATATCAAGATTGATTCCAATCCAATTCTCATGCATTTATGTCACGAAACAACACTTAGACAACAGACCTACTTACAGGTCAATGTCATCTGAATCATTATGATGCAGAAACTTTGGAAGATCACTCATCCTCAGTCATCAAGTTAGTTGATCGGCTTCTTTGAAGAGCTAGATTTATTAGGTGTGAGCTATAATACTAATGCAAGTTTAATAGCGTAGATTTTATGGAACATGACAAGAACTTCAACAGGACCAGAAGATTTCTTGATGTTGAGCCTATTCAGATATGTATGAACTGTACAGTGAGAAAAAAAACTTGCAGTGGAAGGGGTTTTCCCTAAAAATCTACCATGGAATGGAAATTATTCAGCAACTAAGTTTGCTTGTTGTCTTATTGTTGTGGCTATTGCCACATTCATTGATGTTTTTAGTGGACTTTCGACCAACAGCTTTAGCCACTAACCATAACGATCTAGAACCATTGGTCTAGCAAGCAACGCTGTTGTGGTGAATGTTTGTCAGCCAAATTTGTTTTACTATCGATGTTGTTGCTATCATTGTATTAGGGTAGAGTTGGTGAAATTTTGGCATTTGCAGTTGACCAGAGACAGCAGTAACTTGCAATCAGTTTATTCCTAATTTTTTATTTGTACAGTTCTTTCCTCCATCTATTTTTCACGTGAAGTGTTCAAGTGACTTGGCACATTTGATTCCACCAAGAGCGGTACATATCAGAAATACGCGATGACCTGTGTCTGCTCATAGTTTTGAGATTCAACTCAGTACACCTCGAACTTCACTATTTAAGAACTCTTTCATCTGGAGAACTGCGTTTATGTGGGATAATAAACTTCCTCAGAACGTTTTTTCAAATGGATTTAATCTCCAGCGATTCAAATCCAATGTGGATGGCTTTTTTCGCACAGGCACCGCTCTTAGAGCCCCCTAAGGATTTTCCTGTAGTGCTTGCGTTTTAGAGTACACTTTTTTAATGAACGAATAATGAGTGTTCCATTCGACCTCATTCTCGTGTTCAAAATTCTATAAATCCATAAGACTAACTTTGTCACAAAAACTGGAAGCCGTTCCTCATTCAGATATTAATTAAGAAAGCCCGTTACGGGTGTCATTAAAACCTGAATTATTGACAAAATTAAATACGACAAGTTACATATATTACATNATTGACACCAGAGGCCTTTAGCAGGGGCCTGTTTCATAAAGATAGAAGTACAACTTTACAGCTACAATTCCAAAAAACCTTGACATTTGTGCTCCCATTCGTCGGTTTCGAGGTTTTTTCTTAATTGTAGCTGTGGAGTTGAACTTGTAGCTTTATGAAATATGCCCATGTAAGCTGGAGCTACTTGTTTTACATTTTAGTTTAGGCCAGGTCATATTATAATTTACATTTGGATAGATGGTAAATTATTGAATTGTTAGAAAACGTAAGCTATTTTATTGAAAGAAACAAACGCCATCTGCTTGGTTGTATAATTGCACAATAAATAATATCCTCATTTTCTTAAAAAATAACTGTGGTGACATGAAAATCAGCGCTGCCAAACAAATACTGAACAACGCAGTGTCATAAACTTATGTTTATGCTTTGTAGATTGTGTACTTTCTAATACAGCGATATTTTCCAAACAACTACCGCCATCTCTTGGTCAGGCCGGGAACCCTGGAACCACCATAGTAAAATCAACAACTAAAAGCTGCATGGGGTATAGACAGTTTGCTTGGAGGAAGATCGATATACAAGACTCAGATATCCTAGTGAAGATATGCATGCAGGCCCTGACTGAACAGATAAAGAAGAACTGAACATAAGCCCATATCATAGTAGCATTCACCAAAAGCTCCAAGATAGAGGGCTTAGGACTTCTGAAACTTCGCAGTGAAGAAAGTGAGGAAGGCCAAACTCATGAAGACCCGAAATGATGCTTTAGTTGTACACTATGGTGGTTAAGCCCACATGTACTTTTGGCCTGGTGGTCAGAGATGAATCAACGACTGCTATGAACAGATTAAGCAGGGTTCAAAAACTTGCTCGTTTGGGAATACTTGAAGTAAAAAATACTACTGCAAGGGATCGGCAAAGCAGAAATCTTTCAGTGTTCAAGAAACATCAGGACTTAACGAAATGAGCGGATTTACACTTGAACTGATGAAACCAAAAGTAACATAAAGACTGGTTTGGGAATGGGATAAAAAACGCAATAATCTCATGAAGCTGAAATATTTCTCGGAGACTGTTTTTGCCTCAGGCTCTTGTATAGGGCCTTCTAAACTTTGACAATTGATAACGGCCATGTTGTTGAAGCTACATCTGTCAAATTAGTGGTCATTAGTTGTCATAATCTTCCTACCGAGAGGTTTACTCGCAATGTGGTGGATAAATTTGTGTCCACTGGTTAAGTAAATAATCGACTAACTACCATGCGTTAACGATAGGCGGA